GGAATTCTGGGAGTTGAAGTCCACACATCTTAAAGTTGCCAAGGTTGAGAAACAGTGCTCTAGTTGTATAGCTAAAGTGCAAACCAGGAAGGAAATGATTTGATAAGAGGTCTTAAAGGCTGCTGGTTTCATTTAAATGAGGGCCAAGGCCAAAGTATACATCTTTTAATGAGAATGTGCAGGAATACATCTGTAGCGTACATACAGTTCAGTCATCTAACTGGCAAAGTGCTGCCACCCCCCGATTGATCCAGTGTTTCTGGGGAAGGTCAGAAGGAAGTTCAATGGAGAGGACATAGTTGGTGGAATGGCCGGTGGTAGACAAGACGCCTCTCCTGGCACTGGTTTTGTAGACAGGACACAAGTAGATCCTTTCGTGCAAAAACTTGGCGCTCTCTCCAGGTTTCAGCCAAATGATGGGCAAGGAATCATAAAGGATTTTGGGGAAAGATTCGCCGATCTGCATGGTTTTCCTGTCCCATCGGGCTCCTTCCAAAAAAAGCCCTTTTACGTAGGCTCCATCTTGAGGCATATGCTGCATGGTATGCTCCATCTTCATCACCTAGAGCGGGAAAAACGTTAACCGATGGGATTCTAAGGAAGAAATAAGAAATCATGACACGTTCCTTGCTTAGAAGGAATTCGGCAATTGAATTCATAGGCTGCACTAAGCCATTGTGTGAAGTGTTGGCTTACCGGATTGTGTAAATTCCATCACTGTGATTTGTAAACCACGGTTACGGCTCTGTGCATCAACTTTGCTGCAATCCCACCAGATATGCCCAGTCTTTTCACATTCTGTCTTAGCTCATGACAACTTTTTAAAATAAAACTAAGCTCTCTTTTTTTTTCCTTTGCCCCTCCCACCCAGTAAACTCATGTCTCCATCTGCTCATTATATTTTAGGCTGCAATACTCTCTGGACTTATTATTTTGAACTCTTTTTGGTGCATTTCCCCAAAGGCTTGTTCTGAGACAGGACTTCCCTGAGCTTTTCTCTCCCTTTTTCTATCCAGAGTTAATAAATGCCATCCATTATTTAATATCTGGCAGGTTATTATCTCCCAACACTGAGGGATCAATTAAGTCAGAAAATGGCCCATGTTGTTTCTAGCCTTTAGCAACTGAGTAAACTCTAGAGAACACAGCCTCAGAAATCAATGTTTTGGGAAAGAAAAAAGAAGAAAATATTTCTTTTCCACCATCAACATTTTAGAGATGCTTCACTGTTCCCTGGTATCCAGTTAGTTCTGGCCAGCATATGTATGATTTCTAGAAATCAAGAGGAGGAGGGGGATAGAACAAAACCTGGGAGGTTTTCAGAAGGGCCATTATCTTCTTGTGGCTACTCACTTTGAATGCTGCTAAAAATAAAGCATGCTTTTGTGCTAGTTGCTACCTTATCCCCAAGTCCATTTATTTTTGTCCATATAGTCCAGTTCGGTCTCCTCCTAATGACAGTAGCAAAACTCCAAGTTGCTATAAGGTGATGCTTTTCATCAATTGCCATCTAATCTATTTCTCTAGAAGAGTCAGTGATTGAACTAGGGATCATCCGCATGAAAAACTGGGCTGTCCCACTAAACAGTGGGCTCTCTAGGACTTTCCATATCCTTCTTTTACCACATGAGTTGATGGTCTCTCTCTCTCCTTTCTCACTTAATTTTTCTTCTCAATCCTTACGCTTCACCCATGTCTTAACTGCTAGTTCCCTTCTCTCCCCTCTTCTCCATTCCTTTTGATTTTTTTTTTTTTTTGGCATCTAAAACTGCAAAAACAGGCAAAGCATAGGACAGTAATGTACCACACCATAAAAACATCTCCCCTGCTTCCACCAACATTTATTTTGCAGATCCCTCCTCTCTACTACTCTGGAACCAACCTCTATTTCTCATTGACTCTAGATTTCCAAGTTCGTTTGTTTGTTTATTAAATTTATATGCCACCCATCTCCCCCAGAGGGTGACTCTGGGTGGCTTACAATTAAAATCTGAAACAAAAACAATAAAATATAAAGATCCATATTAAGATAACTAATAACAATTCTATATAAAAAGCCTATATACAATTCAAGA